ACCCAGAGAGTTAGGCACCTACAGCATGTGTATCACGTCTAGCAAAAGAAGCCTAGGACAAATAAGTACCAGGGACCAATGGTTTCTTTTATTGAGGCAGACTTGGATATGGTGCAGCATCCACACAACGATGCCCTGGTGATAACGCTGAAGATTAAAGAATGTCAGGTGAGGCACATACTGGCTGATCAAGGCAGTTCTTGTGACATCATGTACATTAGATGTTACAAGGAGCTCGGCCTTCACCCAGATGATCTGAAATAATTTGACAGCCCGATGGTTGGATTCAATGGAACGTCGACATGGCCTCTTGAAGCCACGAATTTAGAGGTGCAGGCAGGCACCAAGAAGGTAAGCACGGAGTTTACAGTAATTGACACCCTCTCTCTTTACAATGTTATTTTGGGAAGACTGTGGTTGCACGCAATGAGGGTTATTCCCTCAACGCTACACCAGCTGTTGTGATTCCCAACCGAACAGGGGATCGAGGAGGCTAGAGGGGATCAGGTGTAGGCAAAAAATTACTCCATGGAAACAATGAAGTCTATCTGCAACGTGCGAGAAGCAGAGACAGTAGAAATTAAAGACGAGAACAAAGAGGTCTTAGATGATGTCGGCAAAGAACCAGTCGATAAGGGTGAGGAAGCTTTGAAGAAAATTTTAGTCCAAGAGGGTGATGAAGAACGCTTCTTCCTTCTCGGCTCAGGCTTAGCCAAGGAGGAGGAAATGAAGTTTGAGGTTTTTCTGCGAGCAAACATAAAGGTGTTTGTTTGGACGCCCTATGAGATGCCTAGCATTGACCCCGAAGTTACTTGCCATAGGCTCAATGTAGATAGGTCGTCTAAACCTGTTATACAGGCAAGGAGGCTGATGTTGATACATGTGGCGGCAGTCGAGGAGGAAGTAGATAAGCTACTAGAAGCCCAAGCCATTCGAGAAGTGAAACCCTACCTAGCTGTCCAACACAGTGGTGGTGAAAAAGAAAAATGGCAAGTGGAGGGTTTGCGTGGACTTCACCAGTCTAAATAAGGCTTGTCCCAAGGATAGCTTCCCGTTGCCTAAGATTGATCAGTTGGTGGATGCCACTTCAGGGCATGGGAGGATGAGTTTCCTGGACGCATACAGAGTCTAGCACCAGATAGCAATCTATGCTCCAGATGAAGAGAAGACGACATTCAATACCTCAAAAGGACTCTAATGTTACAGAGTGATGCCTTTCGGGTTAAAGAATGCAGAAGCAACCTACCAGAGGTTAGTAACCAAGATGTTCAAGAACCTGATTAGGAGGACAGTAGAGGTCTACATCGATGACATGGTTATGAAGACCAAAGAACCTCGGAACCATCTGGCCAACTTATAGGCAGTTTTTGATATCCTACAAACATATCAGCTTCAGTTTAATGCCTTCAAATGTGCATTTGGAGTCGGATCCAATAACTTTCTAGGATACCTGGTCACCAGGAGGGGCATTGAAGCAAGCCCAAACCAAATTAGGGCCATCCTTAACTTAAAGAGCCCAACAAAAGCCAAGCAAGTCCATATTCTGACCGGCAAGGCAGCAGCCCTGAACAAGTTTATCAGTCGAAGTTCTAATAAATGTAAATCATTTTTTCAATTGTTGAAGAAGGCCACAGATTTTTATGGGCAGAAGAATGCGAAGTTGCCCTTGCCGACTTGAAAAGGTACTTGACAACAGCTCCAGTTTTGTTAACTCCAAAACCTGGAGAAGAACTGTTCATGTATTTGGCAGTTTCAGACCACATTGTCAGTGCGGAAACCAGGTACTTGCCCTTGGAGAAGTTAACACTACCCTGGTAATGGCTTCCAAAAAGTTGAATCACTACTTCCAAGCCCACAAGATTGTGGAGCTGACTGAGCATCTCCTGAAGTCCCTGTTGTAACATGGAGATCTGATAGACAGAGTAGCCAAATAAGTAATGGTGCTAGGTCAATATAACTTGTAGTTTAGGCCTAGAACGGTAATCAAGGGCCAGGTGCTGGTCGACTTCGTGGCCGAGTTCACTCATGGCACAAACTCGAGGCGAGCTCTGGTGAGCCGCAGCTTAGGATGTCTAGGAGAACTAGAGAAAACGTAACTGGGACCAAAGAACCCCACACCAGCAAAATAAAAGAAGGCAAAAAAACCAAAACCCTACGACATCTACATCGGTGACTCCTTCTGCTTGTTTGTCGATGGAAGTTTTAACCAGTAGGGAACGGGGGCAAGAGTAGTGTTGGTATCGCCAGATGGGCAAATGATAGAGCAATCAATTCGTTTGGGATTTCAGCCTCAAACAACAAAGCAGAGTACGAGGCACTGATTGCTGGACAGCAACAATGGAAACCAATGAGGTGGTAGTCTTCTATGACTCCCAGCTTATTGTGAATCAAGCAACGAGCGAGTATGTTGCCCGAAATGAGAGGATGGTAGCATATGTCAATGAAGTTGTTAGGCTTCTAACACTGTCTGAGAACTACTAGCTAGAGCAGGTTAGTCAAGATGATAATAGTCACGCCGATGCCCTGGCAAACCTAGCTAGTGTAATAAAGTCAGGGGAGCCAAGGGCAATCATGGCTGATTATTTGACAGGACCAAGCATAGAGTCTCTGATAACAGAGTACGAAGCAATGTGCGTGAAAATAGGTCCCAGCTGGATAGACGCCATAGCTATGTTTCTCAAAGATGAAAAACCACTAACAGACAGAAATGAGGCAAACAAAACCAAATTGAAGTCGGCCAGGTTCTGCTTGTCAGCAGAAGGCCATCTCTACAAAAGATCCTTCACTGGACCTCTACTGCGGTGTGTGCACCGCTCTCAGGTAGAGGACTTTTTATATGAGATCCATGAAGGAGTTTGTGGAAGCCATGTAGGAGGCAAATCACTTGCCCACAGAGCCATATCCCAGGGATACTGGTGGCTATACATGCAGAAAGGATGCCGAAGCTTATGTCAGGAAGTGCGAGAAGTGTCAAAGGTTTGCACCTTTGATACATCATCTAGTAACAGATCTGAACCCAATGTCCAGTTCTTAGCCATTTGCCCAATGGGGCATGGACCTAGTGAGACAACTGCCCCAGGCAACCAGGCAGAGAAAGTTCCTGCTAGTAGCCACAGACTATTTTACAAAGTGGGTAGAGGTTGAACCCCTCGCTAAGATTTGAGATATTGATATGAAAAACTTCATCTGGAATAGCATAATCACTAGATTTGGAATCCCAAGGGCCATAGTAGTAGATAATGGTACCCAGTTTGACAGTAAACTGATCAAGAGCTTTTGTGCCCAATGTAAGATTAAGAACTATTACTCTACTCCTAGTTTTCCTCAGAGTAATGGTCAGGCAGAGGCATCCAACAAGACCATCTTGGATGGGATCAAAAAGAGGCTAGAAGTAGCCAAGGGAAAGTGGGTGAAAGAATTACCTAATGTGTTGAGGGCATATCGAACTACACCGAGAAGATCAACTAGGGAATCTGGTTTTGCCATGACATATGGCATTGAAGCAATCATCCCACTGGAGGTCGACATCCTTGGAATTAGAACCCAATGAGTGGAGAATGGAACCAACGAGGCATTCCTTGCCCGAGACCTAGATCTGTTGGAAGAAAGAAGGGATAGAGCAGCAATTGGACTGGAGGCATACCAGCAACAGCTTGCTAGGGCTTATAACAAAAAAGGTTAACCTAAGGGAGTTCAAGGTTGGGGACCTCGTCCTTAGAAAAGTTGTCGGCAATAAAAAGGATCCCGGAAAGGGCAAGCTTGGCCCAAACTGGGAATGACCATATTGCATTATCTCAATTGCCAGCAATGGGGCATATCGACTCGAAGACAGTAATGGCAAGGAGTTTCCAAGGCCTTGGAACACTTGCAGTTTGAAATTTTTTTACCATTAGTTTTTATTTTTTGAGTTTTATGTAATTAGCTGAAGTTTTAATAAAATGTTAGCTTGATTCTGTTTTTATTATTGTTGAAAAACTTGTGTGATAGGACTGAACAGTCTTATGACGATGTTCCCATGGTGAACATGACGAATAACTTAGACATTCCATATGGTAAAGTTGAATTAAAACTTGCCATATGGTAGACTTGAACTAAGTTTCGATGTTTTGGCATAAAACATGACGAATGGCTTAGGCTTGCCATATGGTAGCATTGAATTAACACTTGCCATATGGTAGAGTTGAACTAAGTTAGCGATGTTTCAGAATGAAACATGATAAGTAACTTAGACTTGCCATGACAGCAGAGTTGGACTAAGTCTGATCTAGTCAGATTAAAAAAGACACAGACGTAGAAAAAGCCTCGCTAAGATGTGTTTGAATCAGACTTCGGAAAAAATTGGAGACACATGCTTAATGTGAACATAAGTGGTACTTAGGTTCACATTAGGGGTCAGGAAACAGGAATAAGGAGTAGGCTTGACACTTGTTGAAATTTTTGAAAGAATTTATAAGTTGAAGTCAGCCGAGATATCTAGATGAGGGGACACTCGAGTTTTTTGTTACCCGAGATCACCAACCAGGTCGTCAAACCTGGAAATGTTGGAAGGGTGAAGTATTGATAAAAGACAACGAGTACAAGTAAAAAAGCAATACTTGTTGAATGTTATTCAAAGAATTTTTATAAAGTGCCCATTGGCCGAGATCACAGTAAAAGGTGAACTCCGAGGTAAGTTGGACCGAGGTGACCAACTAAGGTTGCACCTGAGATGAAGTGGATCCGAGATGATATATGTCAGATGTGTTCTAACTCGAAGTGATTACACAGTTAAAGTATACTTGTGAGAAGTACAAAAATATTCTAAGTATGAAAACAAACAAGACAGTAAAGACAGAAACAAGCATTCAACACTTAGTCAAAAAGAGGACGTGCATTCAAAAAGACAACTTGTTCAGATACAAAAGAAGGCACATCGGCCAAACAAAGAGCAAACGTTGTTCACAAGCAAAAAGATTACAAGTACTGAAAAGAGAGAATTTCAAAGAAAAGAGGAAAAAATCCTAAGTACATGAGTCTCTAATGTTTTCCTCAAACTGTCTTGCCTCAATGATTGACAGTGTTTCAACCTCGGCAGTCAGCTGGGCAGATTTGTCGGCCTGAATCTTAGCGTCAATCTCTAATAGGGTCTCTTCAAGGCTTTTCTCGACGGCCTGGACCTCAGCCTCAGAAGTTGTCTTTTTGGGTGAGGCACTCTTAGGGACCTCGTCCTCGTTCTCTCCGATCAAGTCCAGGACTTGATCATTGAGGGTAGGGGACTTGGCCATTGCATCGACCTTAACCTCAGTTGCGGCTTCAACTTTGTCTTCAACCTCGGCCTCAGAAGTATTAGGAATAGGGGGAAAGAGAACTTGCAGTTGGGTAATATCTCAGAGAGGAGGGATAGATAGCTTGTTCAGTGCTGCCGTCCAGCTAAGGTAATAACCTCTGTTACAGCCTTGGTTAACTTGGGCTTTGTACGCATCACGCACATCAGCTTGACTTTCGGCATAGGCCTTTTCATCAGTCGCCTTGATCTCAGCCTCTTTGTTATCCAGAGTCTCCATGAGCTTTTCTTCGGCTTCAACGACTTTGACCTCGGCAACCTTAGCCTTAGCCTTGGCCTTGGCTGCTTCGGCAGCAGACTCAGCTTCTTCGGCTTTAGCCTCGGCCTTGCCTTGAGCAATCTTGGCAGACTTGGCCTTATCTATTAGATTTCAGTTGCTGGCCTCGGCCTGATTGAGAGAAGAGATGAGATTGGCAGCTTCTTGAGTCTTTTTTACCAAGTCCTTCTTTATTAACTCGGCCTTGACTGCATAAGAATGCGTATGTTGGATAGCCTACAAGAAAAAAAAACAAGTTAGGAAACTTTAGTTAAGTATTGAAAAAACAAAGAGGAAATGGAAGAAAGAAAGTTAAGCAATTTACCAAAATTGAGTGCTGCATCATGAGCGCAAAGTTCTCATATTCATGCAGCTTGGCCATTTGGTTCATATCGGCTGGAAGTAGCACAGCCGTAGAAAGTACAGTACCGACCTCCACACTTTCTATTGCACTATCTCCAGCTCTTAGCGGTCGGTCACCAACCATGACCTCAGGGGCCTAGGTCTGATCTCAAGGACAACTGTTACCTTCATTTGGGTTATTAGATCTTGGCCTCTGGGATAGTCGGGCATCAGAGGATGCGGCTTCGGCTGGCCTCTTTTTGGCCTCAGCCAATTTTGATATCGATATAGATTTCTCAGGATCCTTCTTAGATTCAGAAGGAACCAGAGTTACTGTAGCCTTAGCCTTGGCCTTCTCCACTCACTTCGGCTTTGGCTTAGACTGGGATAGAAGTGGGGGCGTTTGAGACACAACGTCGGCGTTGGCGCTGAACAGGTGAAATGAGTTGGGCAGCTGCAGAAGCCAAGAGCTACTCAACGGGATCAGATGTGGAGGCCTGGTCTTGCCTCAGGAAAGAAGTAGCAAGTGGAGTTAATGTAGATGAATGAGTCCGGCTTCGTTTGGGGATGTAATTCAATAGGATGAGGGCTTTACGTCTCTGAATAGGGAGATCTAGGAGCGTCTTTAGATCTCAGCTGGGGACGTAGGACTGCCGAAATCCCTTTGTTAGCTGATGAAGAACTGCAAAAATGAACAACAAACATTAGCACAGACTAAAGAAATAAATTGACAAAGTCTTGATAGAAACATAAGATTTTCTCTTGGATGCAATTCTTACCCTCATCCTCTCTAAACACTGCTCGACGCAAAGGAAAGAGGTGAAGATCGTCATCAGGTGCAAACTCCCAGTTGCCCAAGACGATCAAATAGTCATCTCCAGCGCCTTTGTTGGAGTCTGGGAGATCGGCTATAAGTTCGAAGGCGGTAGATCTGGGCTTGAGGTAATATGTGGAACCTTTGTTAGACTTAAGGCCACACATGGTATAACATAATTGGATATCAGCTAAGGTAATCCTAACTTTTTCTCGGCGTGCCAATTCGATTATGCCATTGATAACCCTATATGAGTTGATAGCTAATTTCATGGGGTTAAGTTTGTAGTAGTGGAGGATGTTAATCATATTGTTTAATTTTGATGATATCTAAAATATTATTTGAAAATTTTAAATTTTAATATACATATTCCATATTATTTGACACAAAATATTATCTGTTTAAAATATAAGTTGTATGATATATTTGTTATAAATTTTAATTAAATGAAAATATTTTGAAAATATTACTATTCATGATTTTGAAAAAATTCGGCTGATCACTATTCACTTTTTGACAAAATTAAAATTGATTAGTTGTATCTTTTTGACAAATGTGATTTTAGTGAGTTGTAATCTTTTGACAAATTTAATATACTCACACGGGATGATTAGTTATTTTTATTTGAGTGTATTTATAATCTCTTCAACAATTACAAAACTTTTAGAAGGGATATATATTTTTATATATGTGTATATACATATGATATAATATAAAAAGAAATGATTGCAAAATTGCAGCATATTCACATGTCGAATTTTAATTCACATGTTGAAGCAACATCTTTATATAAATTAATGTGGACTTCGTAGGAATTTTTTACCTCATTTCTTTATATATATATATATATATATATATATAATATTAGTCAAAACCCACATGTTTGTGAGTTTTGTTCAAATTTCAGCCACAATGTTTAACGAAAGGAAAGGGTGCCTCATGATAAAAAGTTGAAACAAATAGATGCCTCATAATTTGTTAGAGAAGTGTCTGCCTCTCCAACGGGTATATTTTTGGGTATAAATAGAAGTGTTTTGTGTGAAGAAAAATCAAGAACTTGACGAGAAAAAATTTCTGTGTGTTCCAAAATTTTTAGTATATTGTATTCTTCTCTTTCACTTAACATTTGTTCTTACGCTTTCATATCTATTCTTTGTAAGAGAATTATTGTAAAAGAGGAAATAAATACCACTTATTTTTATTCATTATTTTTGTGAGAGATTTTTTGTAAGGGTGAGGCATTTATTGTTAAGTGAGGCTCAATAGATAAGAGTAAGTCCTGTGCAAAATCCACAAGCTTGGTGAAGACTTGGTGGTGTATTAATTCATTTTGATAGTAAAGAAATTCTCAAGGAGGTTCTTTGGAGAGTGGTCGTAGGTCTGGCGTGCCGAATCACTATAAATCTTAGTGTTTGATTTTCTCTCCATATCTCTCTTATTTTTTATATTGATAATTATTATTCTGTTTTTTATTTGTTAAAATTCTGAATATTGTGTTTATAAATTTTAATATTGTAAAATTTTTTAAATAACCTAATTCACCCCCCTCTTAGGTTGCCTACCTGGGATAACAATTGGTATCAGAGCCTAGACTCTAGTTTGTGTGACTTAACCATCTTAGAGTAGATCATGGCAACCCCTAGTTATTCCTTCCCTGAGAGACAAGCATCCAATAGGCCACCACTATTTAGCGGCACAAATTTTAGCTATTGGAAAACTAGGATAACCATACATGTTCAATCTAATGATTATGAATGCTGAAAAATTATTTGCAATGGTCCAAAAATTCCTACCAAAACCGTAGATGGACTTAGGGTACCAAAACCTGAAGATGGGTGGAATGAATCAGATACTAGAATGGCCCAAATTTATGTCAAAGCGACAAACATGTTGTACTGCGTCTTAGATGCCAACGAGTTCAACAAAATTTCCACATGTAAAACCGCAAAAGAAATTTGGAATAAACTTATAGTGACTCATGAGGGAACCGAACAAGTTAAAGAATCTAGAGTCAGTTTGCTAGTTCATAATTATGAACTCTTTAAAATGAAGCCTAATAAAACTATTTCTCAAATGTTTACTCGCTTTAGTGATATTATTAATGGTTTAACTTCTCTTGGCAAAATATATACTAATGCTGAAATTGTAAGAAAAGTGCTTAGGTCATTACCAAAAGTTGGAAGACAAAAGTCATTGCCATTACTGAAGCCAATGATTTATCAAAGATAAGTTTAGATGAGTTAATGGGATCTCTCTTAACTCATGAGCTCATAATGCAAAAAGGAAATGAAGAGGAGGACAACAACAAGAAGAAAGGAATAGCCTTCAAATCCACCTTGAAACATCAAGAGGATGAGAAAGATGATTCGGATGATGATGAGGAAATGATATTCATCACTAGGAAGTTCAAAAGGTTTGTGAAAAAGAAACAAGGTGTGCGAAAAATTTTCAGAAAAGATTTCAATAATAGGGATTTTCAAAAGGGAGAAAATCACAAAAAATTTGAAGTTACCTACTACGAATGCAACAAACCTAGACACTACGAATTAGAATGTCTAGAACTTAAGAAACAATTCAAGAATGACAACAAGAAAGCCATGATTGCAGCATAGGGAGAAGATAATGATGAAAGTGACTCAGAATCCGAAGTTTGCAAAAATGAGGTTACTAACCTATGCTTAATGGCACTTGGAAATGAAGGTGAGGTAAATGACGAATCTTTTACGTTTAATGAATTACATGCTGAATTTATGAAACTTAGGTTGAAAAGTAACTATCAAAAGAAAGTGATTTCAAATTTATCACAAGAAAATGAATCCTTAACTTCTAAAATAAATGATTTAGAAAATGAAACCATGAAAATGGAAAAGGAAAATGATATTTTAACTCGAAAAGAGTCTTCAATTTATGAGAAAACATTAGTTGTATTACAAGAAGAAAATGAGTCTATAAAAAAGAAGCAAATTGTTTTAAAAGAAAATATCGAAAACTTGAAAAATACTCTTTCCAAATTTACTCAAGGTAGAGAGACTTTAGATAAAATTCTTAAAAATCCAAATCATACTATTGGTAGAGCCGGAATTGGATATAAACCTTTTTCAAAAGTAAAAATTGTCAAAAATGGTTTTGTGCATGCATCTTCTAATCACTCTCATCTCACATGTCATTTTTATGGTACGAAATGTCATATTTCACCTTCATGTCCTGTTAAAAGAAATCATTTCGCTAAAATAAAAAAGATGTGGTTTCTGTAGACGCCCCATTTTTTACCGTCCTCGAGACTTGGTTGTGCTTGCAGGTACACCCAACAACTAGTTCGATTACTCGCTGAGTACTCGACTATCGCGGCAGAACGTCACCAGTTCGAGCTTCCCGGACCTTGTATCCTTTCTGCTCCTTTCTTGGACCATGGCTAGGTCCTCTCTTAGTGGACCTTTTGGTTCACTGCCGACCATGGCATGGCACTGCCGGCCATGGAATGGCGCTGCCGGCCATTGGTGATGCCCTGTCGGCCATCAGTGAGCCACTTCTGGCCATTGATGATGGCCGACACCCCCCCTGTCTCAGCTGGTTTTCCTCCAGATCTTTTGAGCCAGCTGGATTTTTGTTTGCTCCCCTCCATACACATGTATGGAGGGATGAAGCCCTTGCAAAGCTTCTTGAAGAAGCTTTGGCTTTGCATTCCTCTATATAAGCAAGAGGCCTCCCTCTTTGCCAGAGGTTCAGCCATTTTGAAGAGAAAAACCTCTCATTCTCTCTATATTGTTTGTATTTTGTGCTTAGAAATTGGATTTCCTTGCACTTTTACACTACAACACATAGAGATACACCACCACCATTGGACTAAGCTTCTTGGGAGGGATTCTTGAGCTCTGAAAACTGGTTTCCACCCCCTGAAGTTGCTGGTTTCGAAGAGGGCCTTCAAGGGTGAGTATTTTCCCCATTTTTGCACCTTCTTGTACCTCACTTTAGCCCTCCTTGCATATTGATTTGGGCTTTTCTTATAACTGAAAAAAGTCTTGTATTTAAGTGTTTTTGAAGTTTTCTTAAGGTCATTTTGTTGTTAGCGGTGTGTAGCCCCCTTGCACGCTTTGTTTGGCTTTGTTTTAAGCCATTCCTTGAGGCCTCTGAGCTAGCCTTGGTTTGGCCTTCTTACCACTGAAATCTAGTGGATTTTTAGTGGTAAAGGTGTGGTTTTGAGATCCTTAATCAGAGGGGGTGGCCCCCTCTCTTTTGGTTCCTCATTGCTTGCATTTTTGGCCTTCCAAAGGACCATCCCTCCATGCATTTTTGAGGCTTGGTTCAGGCCTATTTTTGTGACTTCTAGGACC